GTGTCAGAAATGGATAACAAAACTGCTATTTTCAATGACTGCTTATTTTTGTGCATGAGCTGCATGAGTTTTAAAATATCGGCATTTCGGATATCGGCCAAAATCCCAATATCGTGCATCCCTAATAATTACCTGCATGTAATTATTACACTTGTATGTTACAATGGAGACTTTTGGTGGGTGATTAACAATAGGATCACATAACTGTTTTTATTATTGGCCACCGCCTAACTAAGGCTAACAAAGTAAATTATAACTTGTGGTCAGGTAAATAAAACATTATAAAACTCACCTGAGTTTAGTTGCATTGGCGGTTCTAGACCAAATCTACCATGGGGCCAGGAGGGGGCCAGGAGGGGGGCAGCGTGTTTTAATAGGGGAACAGAAAAGCATGAAATAAAAAAACAGGTAAAGGGATAAAAATATAATAAGATAGTGCATGAAGTGACATTTCTATTCAATTAGGTTTAATTAAAATTCCTATGTCTTATTAGGTCAATATACATTCATAATGTAGGAATTTTACACATTTTTGACTTTAAGTTAAACTGACCTTTTTTCTATAAAATCTGAATTAGAACTTAAGAAAAATGTATAAATTCAGTTTGTTTTGAGAAAATCAAAACATTTAGCTGATGAAAACTGGGATCCCATCTTAATACTGCTGAAGCTATCACCTTTTTTTCTTTTTTTGAATAATTAGTAAAACAGAATTTGTAAAGAAAAAAAAATGAAATAGATCTAAAGGACCGATCAGTAACCATGTCTGATCCAGCACAGATAATCATTAGAAAATTTTGAAGCGCATGTTTTGCCGAAATTCTCCATTAAGTTTTTCTTGTTACCTAGAAATATTGGGTAACTTTCTATGTTATTACAATGTTTGTTAAGGTTATTGAATGACGATTATAAAGTTAATGTGTGTACATATGAAACACGGGGTCATTTCAGGGTCATTTCATTTATGACCTGCATCCAGCCAGATAATCCTTACAGGGTCTTCTGTTTTAAAACCCACCCTATTATGTTATAATCTGTTAATAAAGGCTCTACTGGGAAGGGAGCAGTGAGAAAAGGTGCTGGTTGTGAGCTAGATGTTCTTCTCCCTTCTGCAGAGGCTGTTGTTGCAGATCCCTGTCTGTGTCTGATCATTTCGTCCTCTATAAACTCACATTTCTTTGAACCCAACAATGTTATTACATAGTTATTGGTGTACTGTAAAGGAAATGGTCGCCTTAAATCTATTTTTACTTGTTTTACACATTTAACTTGTAGTTTATAGTCCATCTAATCTTATAACCAACATGTCTGTTAAGCAGATATCATCCTTCCTTAGTAGTTGATCTATTTACCAGTTTGCTGTATTTGTTCCTCTATAAAGAGCAGAAATTAAAAGTGTTGTTTTTCTTTATTTGTGGATCCCAGTGAACCACATCGTCGGCCTGGATAAGGTGGCAGGAATGTCAGACTCTGGCCCCTTCAGGACCCGTAAAGGCATGTTCCGCACAGTGGGACAGCTGTACAAGGAGCAGCTGGGGAACCTCATGACCACCCTGAGGAACACCAACCCTAACTTTGTGCGCTGCATCATTCCCAACCACGAGAAGAAGGTATGACGCTGTTTTAGGAACTTACCAGATGTCTTGCTAAAATGGCATGACTTGAAAAACACAAATCTATGTGAAATTGTTTTTTTTCTTCTCCTCAGTCTGGTAAGCTTGAGTCTCACCTCGTTCTGGACCAGCTGAGGTGTAACGGAGTCTTGGAGGGAATCCGTATCTGCAGACAGGGCTTCCCTAACCGGATCGTCTTCCAGGAGTTCAGACAGAGGTGACACTTTCTAAATGCATGATGAATATTTGGACTGGTCACCAGTGGCGGCTGGTGTTTTCTCTGGGGGGGGGGGCCTATAAATTCAAAATAGACTTATACTAAGTTATCACACCAGTATATTTATATGAATGCCAACAACAAAAAAAACATTAGAAAAACGCTTTATAAAAACAAAACATAATTTCATGTCCAGGTTTACTTTTTGTATACAAGCCTTCAGAGGCTTTGTGAAGGTAAACCTGTATTCTGCATGCTCCGATATTGTGTCACAAACCTAAAAAAAAAGTAATGTACCAGTTTAATAATTGAGAAGCTATTGGTCAGCTTTATATTTTTTTTATATATAAAAACAATTTTCTGATAATGTGTTTATTTATGAGGAACTATGCAAATGAACAAACATGTAGAAAAAGTAAACTAGATTCTATTATTTTCCATGTGAATCCCAGATTGTTCGTTCTTCTTTGCCTTTTCTAAAAAGTGCTTTAAATCAGTCCTAGCTGTCTTTATCCATGCTGACTCAGATCCTGACGACTG